ACAGCACTATGTTACACAACAGCTTCTCTCATTACATTGTGGTCAGAGCAAGAACCATGAATCATCATACTTTAGACATTCTTGAACCTCTCTTTGTCTCCCTTTTTCTTTCTATTCCCTCTATGCCTGTGCCTGACACATAGAAGGCATTCAGGAAATGTTTGTTGAATGAATAAATAAATGGATGCATTAACAAACCAATATCATTATCTAAGGTAATAAAATTCATGTCCAGGGAATAAATATTGTTAAAACAGTTAATAAAGAGTAAAGGAAATTCAGCCTGAGAATCAGTGGATTGAACTCTAGCTTTGGAGTGAAACAGATCAGGTTTTACTTTTAGCATTCATCAGTTCTTAGCAGTGTGACCTTTGGCAAGTGATCTCACCTCAGTGAGCTTCACTTCTTTGATTTATATAATGGGGCTAATAATATCTACCTTGCAGTCAGTTGGAAATACCTGAATCACCAGGCCCAGTATCTGACAAAACCCAAGTGCCCTTTAAATGGTAGTAATTACTGTTAGTTTCATTGGCTTGTACAATGCTTCAGTTTGGTATATTTGTTACCACCACATATTTGATTATATATGCTAGCTGTCTAATGCTTGCTAATTTTTCTCTTGAAACACATTCTAAATATCTCATATTTTAGACACTGGCCATATTACCTAGCTCAGCACTGGCCACATCCTTGATTTTTAACTACTGAATTAGAAGTGCAGATCATGTTGAAAAGAGCACTGGATTTGGAGCCAGGAGATCAGTATAATGCTGCATTAAGCTGCTTTCCTTTTTCTGGGTCTCCTCAGCTTGTTCATTTGTGAAATTAAAGGAATGGACTTCTTGAGTTATTTAAAACTCACATATTCTGTTACTATATGATGACATAATTATTCTTTTCATGAAATAGACTCACACTATAGTTAAATACGTCTTTTATAACCAGGTAGAAAAATGTAAGGCCCAGGTAGGTTGATCAACCATCCCAGTTTTACCAGAATTATCCCAGTGTTAACAAAGGAAGTCCTGTATACCATGGATCTTTTCAGTCCAGGGAAAATCAACACAGTTGGTCTTCCTAACTCCAAGTATTTTGACAAATAAAAGGTATGTTTCTTTGTAACTGCTGAAAGCTTTTTTTCTCTTGAATTCCACATTGACAAATAGTGCTTTCTTGGTCTTGAGCATAGAGATGGGAAACTGAACAGGAGAAAAAATAAGAAGGGCCCATAATATACAAATAAGCACCCTTCTCTGGGTAATGATAGTTCACCGTCATTGAATCAGTTGCTGTTGGGAACTTTTATGTAACAGACACTATGTCAGGCTATGTTGCCAAGTGTAGGGATGTAGAAGGTACTATGTCTGAACCCAGGCTAAGTATTCATGTGTGGGGTGCAGTAGAGAGGATAAAGGACATCTACCTAGGGAAAGGCACCCACATACCAAAAGGTGGTGTATAATGGCAACATATGTTAGATTGTTCAGGGAAGGAAGGGAAGGCCAATGAAGGCTAGAAGAGGTAGAATTTAAGGCTATATAGGATTTAGATTGGTTATTTTTAATTTTTATGTTAATTTTTATATTTTTTCAATTACAGATTATATGTAATATTATTTTAATTAGTTTCAGGTGTACAGCATAGTGGATTGGTTACTGAAGAGACTAGGCAGACAATCCCAGGGATGATGCACATGCTGCTAGATAATAATGCACAGGTCCTACAGGTAACTCACTATTAATATACTCTCATGAAAAAATACCATGGAATCTGAAAGGGGGACCATGGCATTAATTAATGAAAGGAAATACTCCAAGACATAAAAAGGTAAGTTTGTGGGTGAGTGAGGTGGTGAGGGCATTGGGGTCGAGATCAAGGGAACTGGGGAAACAGAATTACAATCCAAATGGTCCCTACAGTTTGTCTTTTGAGTTTTCTCTCTCTCTTTTTTATTTTTTAAATTATTTTTAAAAATATATCTTTATTGATTTCAGAGAGAGGAAAGGAGAAGGAGAGAGAGAGACAGAAACATCAATGATGAGAGAGTCATTGATCAAACCCACAACTCGGGCATGTGCCCTGACCGGGAATCGAACCCCAATCGCCTGGATCCTAGGTCAACGCTCAACCGCTGAGCCACGCCCGGCCAGGCTCTCTCTCTTTTTTAAATATATCTTTATTGATTTCAGATAGAGGAAGGGAGAGAGAGAGATGGAAACATCAATGATAAGAGAGTCATTGATCAGCTGCCTCCTCTACACCCCTGACTGGGGATTGAACCCACAACCTGAGCATGTGACCTGACTGGGAATTGAACCTCGATCTCCTGAATCCTAGGTCAGTGCTCAACTGCTGAGCCATGCCCTGCTGGGCAAGTTTTCCCTCTTTTTTAGGGTTAGCTCTCTGCTGCCACAATCTCATTTGACCATCACCACTGCATTATGGGCATTGACATGATGTTGGGGAAAGGGCACAGGCTTTGGAGGCCAGATAGGTCTCCACCACTCACTAGCTTTGTGACTTTGGGCAAGTGAACTAGCCTGTTGAGATTCTGTTTGCTCATTGCTAAAATAGGAGCAAACATACCTACTTCACTGGGTTGTTCTGAGGAATAATGAGATAATGTGTATAACATGACTGATATTGTAGCTGGAAAATATTAGTGGCTCAGTGAATGATAAGTTCCTCACCTATCTCCTTCTAGGGTAATGACCATGTATTTATTTGTCTCATCTCCTTCAACTGGTCTCAGAAAGAGACTCCTAAAGGAGAGTTGAAAACACAGAGAAAATGCATTAGTGTCTGCTTTGAGCACTCCTTATATCTCACCTGGAGATTCTAGCCTCTTTATCCCCCCTACCCTGCAGTGTGTGTGTGTGTGTGTGTGTGTGAGATTTAAGTCAGGACACTACACTAGCCCCTTTCAAGTCCAAAAGGACATGAGTTCCTTTCCTTTGCTTTTTACTGTGTGTCATGCAAGCAGTATGTTAACTTCTATATGTAGGAGAGATACACTTGACTACTAATGATCTGCACATGTTAAAAGCTTATTCCTGCCATCCAACCCCTATGCACTGCCAAGAGCAGATTAACAGGCATGAGCTCTAGGGCAAATTTCTCAGGTGCAAGGAATAAGACATTGTCACTTTATGGGAAAGCTGGGTCATTGAGTGGCCTGATTACACTCTCCAGTGTCTTGCTTTGTTTGGTTAATCTATAAAGTCCAAGAAGTTTGCTTTCAAAGCTGCTCAATGTCTCTGTTAGTGCTCCTTTTATTTTTGTAGGAATTTTCCCCTCCCTTCACCCTTGCCCTCAGAACTCCCAGCCCTCCTCTGAACCCTTTCCAGCCTCCTGCCAATTTCCCCCAAACCCTGTTCTCAACCTTCCCTCTACCGTCCCCTAACCCCTCCATACCTTACCCAACCTCCCTCTGCCCCAACTGTTCCCCTACTTCCTCCATCTCTCCCTACCCCATCACCTGGGGTAGTGACCTGTCACTACCCCTGGAATATTTAAGACCCCACCCAAACTTTTAGTCTTTTCCAATCCCCTCTCTTCCTCCCAACTTACTTATCCCTTATCCTCTTCCCTCAGCTAAGCCAAGAAATAATTCAAACACCAGTAGAAATTGCCAATGTTTATTGATTTGAAAAAAATATAACACTTGCCCGGCCGGGCGTGGCTTAGCGGTTAAGCGTCGACCTAGGATCCAGGCAATCAGGGTTCGATTCCCGGTCAAGGCATATGCCCGGGTTGCGGGCTGCAGCCGATCAATGACTTTCTCATCATTGATGTTTCTATCTCTCTCTCCCTCTCCTTTCCTCTCTCTGAAATCAATAAAGATATATAAAAAATAAAATAAATAAATAAATAAAGAATATAACACTTGCAAATTTATTTTTTATTGAAAAGTATTGCAATTGTTGTGATAAAGAAAAATGTTAATATGAAAAAAAAAAAAAATCAAGCCCAGTCAGTGTGGCTTCGTGGTTGAATGTCAACCCATGCACCAAGAGGTCACTGGTTTGATTCCCAGCCAGAGCACATGCTTGAGTTTCAGGCTTGATCCCCAGCAGGGGGTGTAAGGCAGCCGATAGATGATGTCTCTCTCTCATCAATGTCTCTCTCTCTCCCCCTCTCCCTTCCTCTCTCTCTGAAATCAATAAAAACATTTTAAAAAAGAAAAATAATCAAGTGAGCTTAGCAACTACACTTTTCAATGTTAGTTTCTAATATCTATTCTCATGCATATTGTTAGTATAAATTGTAATTAAAATAGCCCCAGAGTAATGCAGAGTTCAAAGAAAGGGGCATTCAGGATTGGTGAAAAAAAACTGCTCAAAGTCTTCAGGTTCAGTCCATGATCCAAGAGGCAGGGTCGTTGTACAGGTAGCTTTTGTTCATTGCCAGAGATTCAGTGGAAGTTTCTGAAAGCAGCAAATGTCGGTGACAGCTGAGGTAACAGAAGACAGGTTGCCAGGAGCAGTCACTAGGACACAGGATCTACCCAGCAATTATTTCATCACGACATCTTCTATTCCATTTGTGTCTGAAACAATTGTAGGGACAATAACGAGATGGAAAGGACACAGTGCGGGTACTCCATTCTATGTTTGGGTCATGTGTTTCAAGCCAGTGGATTCCAAGAATCAGAGGGTATCGTGGTGCATGAATAATATCAAACTGGAGCTCTTCAACATGGTTTCCAATTTTGACTTCGACAGGTGGAGTTTCCTTAGTTATGGGTCCATTAATCAGTGGATAGCCATCAACTGTTTCGAGCATCAGAGGGAAGATGTTATTGCAGATGGGCAGCTTCTCTCAAAAAACCACAGAATAGTCAATGCTGTTTCTGTAGGAGCCTGAATCCACCATTGCTTCCTCAAAAAATTGTTGTCTTCCCAGTCGAATTTCAACAGTAAGCCATAGGGTACCGGACATGGATATTGGAAGTGAGGGGGATGCATATTTGTAGATTGGCCCATCCGGGTTCCCCCTTACCGCTGGGCCTGGATGTTTCCCACCTGCTGGACATGATGAGGCTTGACAGGGCAATTTATGGCAAAATGACCAGGATGAGCACAGTAGAGGCTCAAGTGGCCTTTACGGCAGTGGGCCCGTTCAGCTTCACTGAAGTGTCGGTGATTGCCTGCAGCCTGCACAGGCCATTTTCAGCTGGTCAACTCTCAGGCCCAGCTCTCTCCTCAGAGGGGCTTGCCCCTTGTGGATTTGGTTCAGGCTTACCACTTAGCTTCTCTTCTAGGCTGATACACTGGGTGATCAGATCAGACAGGTTGGTGGCTAGGCTTGTGTGAGACAGTTCATCTCGGATAGAACTAGCAAGCCCTTCCTGAAACTGGATGCAGAGAGTTCTTTCATCCTAGTATAGCTCTTGAGCAATGAGGTAGAAGTGGGTCACACACTGGTGGACAAGGTTTTCCCTTTGGCAAAGCTTACGGGTGCAGTGGTTGGCATCTTCCATGTTCTCTGGATTGTCAGAAGTATTCTGGAGCACTTGTATGAAACTTTCAAATAGCTCTAGCAGGGTACTTTGGATATCTACTAAGGGCTGGAACCACCTTCCTGCCTCACCTAAGTGGTTACCAACAAAACTCTCTAAGGCTGCTTCAGTGGGATACAGGTGCCCTCTGACTCTCATGTAGCTATTCAATTGAACCAGGAACTCAGAAAGCTTCTGGACATTCCTATTGAAGTCTAAAGGGTATTCTAAGGGTAAAGCTTCAGCCTCTAACCCACTGAGGTACTGTAGGAACTCTGAAGCTGCTGATGTCTCAGCAGCTATTAGGCCCTCCAAGGACTCCTGGCATGCTGAGAGCTCTGGGAACTCCTGGGCATCTGAAGGATCCAGGGGCTCCTGAGGCATGCTAGACTGTAGAGGCTCCTGGGGCTCCAGGTGTGTTGAAGTCTCCTGGTATTCTGGTGTCTCCTGGGGATCTTGGGCATTTCGAGGATCCTGGAGCTCTGAATTCTGGACCTCCTGGGCCTCCTTGCTATCAGAGGGCTTGTGGGCCTCCAGGGCCACTGGGAACTTTTTGAGCTCCTTAGCCTCTGGAGGTTTTTGGGACTTGCAGGCTGCTGAGAGTCCATGGGCAATTGGAAGTACCTGGGGTTCCTGGGTTGTTGGAGGCTCCAGGGACTTTGGGGCTGCTGGGGACTTCAAGGGCTTCTGAGGCTTCTGGGCCATTGGAGTCACCTGGGGCTTCTGGTCAGCTGGGGTCCCCCAGGCTGGGAGCTCCTGGGACTCTCTGGGCTTCTGGGGCTCTTCAAACTCTGGGGGATTTGGATGGTCCCAGGCTTCTGGGGTATCCAGGGGCTCTGAGGGTTTTGGGGCATCCTGGGCCACTGTGGGCTTCTGGAGTGATTTATTCTCCTTGGCTGCTTGGGGCTTCTGGAGCTCTGAGATCTGGGCTTACAAGGCAGCATTTTCTTCCATCAGCCTCTGCACTTGGGCCTGGAGAATTTCATTCTCCATTTTCAGAGCAATATAGGAGGCTGCTAAGTCCTCCACCATCTTTTGAGGAAATGGGCTTCGTTTGGCAGTTTGCTGCCAAGAGAGATTGGCTGTGCTTTTGTGACGTCTTTCTAAAAGCTCCTCACAGGCAGATGTCAGGCTCTCTGAGTTTTCCAGGAGGTGGGGTTTTGGGCCTCACTAAGATTGTTTAACAGGAGGTCACCAGGAGCCGCCAAGGATCAGCAAAGGGAGGTATCTGATGATACACTGTGAAGAGAGTAGGATCTGAGGATCAGAAACTGTGGTAAGCACTCATTCAAAATAAATCAGAACAAAACCTGCCCAGCAGTGCTGGGTTTCTTTTACTATAGGCTCATATTCATGAACTGGGTTATATATACTGGCTCTGATCCCATAATATTTTACAAACAGCATCTGAACCAGACTGTGTATGTCATTTTGCATTCTTCTTTTGAAACTTAACATTCTATTAGAAGCAATTTCTCCATATTCTTTTTTGTTTTACATAGCCTTTAATTTCTTATGTTTGCTTAATATCCCAATGTGACACTTGAATTTTAACAGCTGCTTTCAGTGACTAACTTATTTGAGAATTGTGGGGATTTTAGGCTCTGTGGTGGGCCAACCCGAGAGATATTTTGGGGTAGGAGGTAGTGGGGAGCTTTCTGACACCTCAGAAATGATAACCCATAAGTAACCGCACAAGATCAGCCACAGGAGAAAACAAGCAATAGTTCACTAAATATATATGTGTATATGTGTTAGTAGACACATGCATATTATTTATAAAATGGCTCAAAATAGTTAAGAAAATAATCTTTATAAATGTACGTTACCATTCAGAGACAGTCCAGGAGCTCTGTTGTCTGCATACCCATCGCTGAGGAGGGAAGTGTGTGAATTGCTGTGGAGGCTTGCCTTTTCTGCACACACTGAACTCAAACAAACACACCCACTCCCAGAACACATTCCAACTCTCCTCTGTAACGTAGCTATTTTGAATGTGGAAGAGTCTTTTTTACTCACAGTTTAGAGCCACAAGGAAAGTAGGATGCTGCGCTGCTGATGTGAGACAACTTCATGTATTCAGTCCTTGGTTACATTAATAAATATTTGGCCAGGAAATTGAGAGTAATATCACTGCCCTTGTGAAAAGTTGCAAACATTTCAGAATGACCACAGTGGTTTGGGACTTTAATATTTTATCTGTCTCATATAACCTCCCCTCACTCTATCCACACTGGACTGTTTGTTTAATTCTCAGAGAGCAGCCTGCAGCTCCTCAGCCTATTCCTCCATCCACCTATTCATTCCCTAGGGTCCTTCACAGCAATGTTTTCTTGGAAACTTTACTATGGACAGATCTAGGCAAGATACAATAGGGTAAGACTATGGATGAAGCCAACTTTGAAGGGTACTTGTAGCCAATTTGCAGGGCCCTTGGCTCCTTTTGAATGTCTTGGTCCAGGGTTTTCGTCTTTTCTAGTCTCTCAAGCACTCTAGGCAGCACTCAAGTATCCACTAAGGACTGGTCACTTGAGAAGTGAGCTTGTTCAAGATCTCACCTTCTCTTCTCATGATAAATCACAGTCACACCCTGAGCATGGGCCATGTGGCCATTTTAGGTAAGGCTCTGGGGCAGCTATTATAATCCTAGTAAGGAGTGGGGTTAAGAATTTTCTTTGTCCACTTCAAACCACAGATCAAGTCAGTCATGCTCCCAGGTCTCCTTTAAAAATGGTCAGTTTCACATTAGTCAGTATAATAGGATAAGCCCTACTGATAGAATATGCCCAAACCACAGTAAATTGTCAGATGGATTGGCTGAAACCAAATGAAGAGGCTTTGAAAAAGAAATTAAAGTATTTTGAAAATCAAGTTATATTCCCTTTGTCCCTTTTAAAGTTTTATTCTTTATAAAAAATACCACAAATAAAAATACTACCATCATTAGAGAATAACGTGTTCTATTTATGTGAATTTTTCAGATAACTAAAGCCTTCCCTTTGAGAATCCAAAACACACAGTTGATATTTACCTTACCAACTTAAAAAAATCAGAGAAATATTTATAGTGAACATTACACTTCTTTCTCCATTCTTAAGTAGATGATTTTGAACATAATTTAATTGATTTTTTAATGGTATGGGTCATACTTACACAAACCAGTCCCTTTACTATGTTGTATCACCGTGTTCCCTTCAGAAAGTTACTGAGAGGTATAAAATGGCCTGTATCCAAATTCAATACCTCCAAATTACTATGTTTTCTAACTTCTTGCAATTACTTTTCTTTTGTATTTTACCTGTTCTTTTGCTGTCAGGCTGTCACACTGTTACTTGTATGCCTGTCATAGTAAGTGTAGACAAATTTGGTAAATTACTTAGTCCTAAAACTTAGTCTAAAACTCACTTTATGAAGCTAAAATGAAGCTTTAATTATACTTAACTTTATAGAGTTGTTGCAAAGATTGAGTGAAATAATGCATGGAAAAGAGTTAGTACAGTTTCTAGCAGCTAGTAGCACCTAATAAAGGTTAATGATAATAATAATAATAATAATAATAATAATAATAATACGCTGTAAGCATAGTAACCTCACTTTAAGTTATTTTTTTAATTACCTGTGAATTGGGAAATTGGATAGGTAAACTTTCTAGAATTGTGTAGGGGCTGACCAGAGGAGTTAATTTTTCACCACTCAGGGCTTTTTCCCCATTCTTCTCTGGGTTATAGATTATTTAGTTTACCAAATAATACTCTAGAATCAGAACTGGAGGCATCTAAGCAGGCAGATGAGATAATTAGCAAAGGGATTGTGGAACAGTCAAGATAGATGTTTAAAAAGTCCATGGACTAAAGCACTGAACAATGCCTCACCTACAGGTATATTTATCAGATGGGTAAGCACAGGGATCTTTATATCCCTTCCCACCGCCCACAAAAGAGCAAAGACCAAATTCAATGTTTGTAAACACAAGTTACAAACTGCCTAAACATAGAGAATAGTCTCTTTTGAGTGGAAATAAAGAGCTACACTGACTTTTTGTCTAAATGCTTAAAGTAGTTTTTTGATATCCTGAATTAGTCAAGTAAGAATAGGAAAGTAATCACATCCAGTTTCTCATCGTTTCCCTTATATTTTAATCCTTCTTCTTACACTCGCAACACAATGAAATTTATGGAGACTTTAGAATGGTTATGAAAACATTTTAAGTAAATGAGGTTTTGTTAACTAGGCAAATACATTTTTAGAGAAAAAGAGAAGACAAATATGTTCAATTAACAGATATGAAAAGAATGCACAGTTATGCTTAGTTATGTTAATAAATTACACTTGTTGATAGCTTAGGGAGAAAGAGAAGGGAAAGGTTAAATAAGATGAAATTCTACATTGTACACTCCAGAAAGAATAATTTTATTTTTTCAGCAAATGTACATACAATCTGAAACTTTTCAGGTCTCTACCTGGGTCTTCCTCCCCAGAGCTGGATGGTCTGCATCTTTAAGCAACTCAAGCTACTGCTCCTTCCTCTTCCCACCCTGGAAAAAAGTCAACAGTACAGGTCCCTGGCACAGTGCCCAGCTACCCCTTAGGGGCAGTCCCACCCTGGTGTGTGCTTTGTTTAACATGTTATTCTTATGGTTGTGTTAGACTTGCAGCACTTTTTTTAAAGATTTGAAATTCTTATTATTTTTTTAAAGGAGCAACATGTTAAATAAAAATAATGCTGATGGGACTGTCTCTCTCAGGAGCACACCCCTGCTTTTCCCCTCCTGCTCTTTGCCCCCGCCCCCCTCAGGGGCATTACCTTTGCCCTTCTCTCTCCTAAGTTCCAAGGGCCCTTCTTTTGCTTCTGTAACTTGTTTCCTGAGCCTACCCAGTCCAGTTGGCTCACTTCTACTGCCTCTGTAACTTTCTAAATAAACTTGCTCTTGTAATTTGAGTTCTTGGCTCTGAAATCTTTTTTTGCTGAACTCAAGAACTGAGGTCCAATTTCGTGTGTCCTGACCGGAGATCGAACCCTCAACCTTGGCACACGGGGATGGTGCTCTGACCAACTGAGCTACTGGCCAGAGCATTTCTGAAAAATTTTAAGGATAGTTCTGATGGTTGTGTTGCAGCACTTCCTTAAGCTTAACCCATAATGTGCTGAGCACAGATCGAAACTTTTCATTGTCATGAACACAATACAGTACTGGGACAGCATGAATTCCCAATTCCTTTAGAAGTTGAAAAGCTTTCCAAGAATTTCCCTTACTTATAGATCCAGAGCACCTGGTAATGAAATAGAAACAGGGTCTACCCCAGTACAACTCTGAGGGAGTCAAAATTTGTTACCCTTTTATCTCCCTTTATAATGCTCACCATCTTCTTAATTTATTGGGGTGACATTGGTTAACAAAACCATACAGTTTTCAGGTGTACAACTCAACAAAACATCTCATTTTATTTCTTGGCTTATGCATACTAAAGTGGCCTTTTCCCTTGATTAGCTGTCACTTTGGGAAAATTAACCCCTATTGAAATACTACCTCACAGAGTTCTAAAAGGAACTTTCTTGGGGTGTTTGCATTTTCATAGATTATTCTGAAAGGCTGTAACCACTTCAAGGCCCTTCTTTGGGGAGGGATAATCTGTGAGAGGTACAACTTTGACATTCTTCAAATCACACCATTCAGGCGGTTCTATACTTTGTTTCCTTATAAGGCTGGTCCAGAATAGCTTCTAGAGTTAGCAGATTTTCTTAATCATTTCATTGAACCTGGGTGATGTGCTGACCCAGCTGCCTTAGCTAAGTGCTTAAGCAACCACCATCACAACTTAATAGGGGAATAGGGGGTCTTTGCCATAATCCCCCTTCTGGGGGATATACTTTTTGTAGGGATCTGGACCTCTCCTCTGCTTCTTGGACCCCTACTCTCTAGGATTTGCCAATGTTGGTTCACTCAGAAAGCAGACTAAGTCTAAGCTGATGGCATCAGCATGGCGAGAGAGAGAGAGAAAGGGAGAGGGAAAAGAACAGGAAGAAGGAGGGG